AGAAAGGCGGGTTCCTTTTTCTCTTTTTTTTTTTTTTTGTTTCCCCCTTCCCCCCCCCCCCTCTCTTTTTTTGGTCGGTGTTTAGAAGCGCTGCGGGCTTTATCCCCGTGTGGTTTTATTTACTTTCAGTGTGTTTTGTGCTAATGGTTTAACTGGATTTTGGGAATGAAAAGGAGCATCTGTTTGCGATCTGTGAGCTTTGCTTAAGCCCTAGATGGTTGTGGTGGTCGCAGTTTCGGATTTCACTTTCTTCTTATTAGTTAAAAAGAGCATTTGCAATTGCGTGTGTGTGTATTCTGTGCATAAACTATATAAATAAAACTATAAACTGTATAAATAAACTGCACGTCTAGATGGTTAAATAGTTTCATAAACAGACGCACGGAGTGTCAGACATGTATCTGGTCCATACACACAAAGATCTCTGCCCAGAATTTGAGACTGAAGCCGCAGTCGAAATCCTGGGAGGGGGTGGCAGCCGGGTAGTGAGCTCTCCCAGCAAAGTGACAGGGAAGCTACTTGTTCTCTCTCTGTAAAATACGGTGCAGGAATTGTCGCGCAGACTTTAGTCGGGGTGGTATAGAAGATATGAGGATCTTGCTTGCTTGTTGTTTTGTTGCTTTTTTTTTCTGTTGAGAAGCAGCAGGCGAGTGGCTGGAAGTTGCAGCGAGGTGGTGAACTGTGCGGGGTATTGGGTGATGCTGTGCCTGTGACTCGCCGACCCATCTGTGGGATTCAGAGACGTGCTGAAAGTTAGCGAGTCCCTTAGCAATATCTTTAACTTTTCTTGCATTATGCAGACTTAAATAAGCGCAATTTAAACGTTAAAGGGTGAATTAAAATGCTAATTACATCGCATTTGAACAATTCGAAACGGTGCATATCTTCTGATTTGCAAATTGGATTTGCAATGCATTAGTGCAGTGAATTGCTAAGTGGAGGCTTTGTTGTATTTTCTATAGCAAAAAAAAAAAAAAAAAAAAAAAAAGGAAACATCTTTTGAACCTTTGAGAAAAATGTAGATATCAAGACACTACCTGTAGGGCCTTTAAAATGTTTACGCGGTTCAAAAATTATATTGGGAAATATTCAATTACAGGGAGCTGAAATTAGTCAGAAAGATTACAACGTCGCCGATGTTAAGCGCGTGTGCCTGTGTCTGTGTGCTGGGTGGAGGAAGGGGAGTTGGGGAGGGGGGGGGAGGGAATGAAATCGCAACTTAATGGCCTTTGGGTGCTGCTTCTCCCTCTCATAGAATATGGATACAAGCCACCATCCCGGGGAAATACAAATATAACAGCCGATCTCTCCTTGACAACTTATTAATGGCTAACAACAAGAACAAACAATC